GAGGAGTTTGATAGTCATATTCTCGCGCCGTTGTCGGTCGTCCGTCGTGTGGGGGCAGTCGAATAGGAGGGTGAATTTGTGGTTGGGGTCGGAAGGGTGCTGGTGAGCCGTTTTGGGGCAGCGCTTGCAAGGGACTGGGCTGACTTCGAAGAAGTCAATCGACAGGGCCGACGCTCGCAGGGTATGCGAGAACGGGTCCAGCAGCAAGTCGGGGAAGGCCGCAAACCCCCCCGAGGCAGGGGTACAACGCCATTTGGACCGTTTTAGGTGGTGGCCTTGCTGTCAAAGGCACACCCGTCAAGCACTACGACACAGTGAGTATGGAGCGATACGTGATGAAAGCATATGCTAACCCGACGGTAGGTTGGCTCAGGACCCCCATTTGACGATGACGAGAACTCGGAGGACGATGAGCTCGATGAGGACGAGGACAAGGACAAGGAAGAGGCATGGGCTTCGACAGACATGAGGGATGCGAACAAGGTGTGGATTGCCTGCGTAATCAGGCGTGACGACTTCGCCGCTCTAGTCGCAAATCCGCTTTAATCGCCCAAGAAACTCGTGCCACCACTCGCCTTCGCTTTCTCCTTCTAACCATGGACTTCGCTCCCTCGACTCCCAAGAAACCCAAGTCTATCCGCGCCGTACCCGCCAAGCCCCAAAAGCCCCCCTCGCATGGCTCCGCACGTAAAACGACCGCCTCGTTCCCCTGCTCGTACTGACATTCAGTCTAGACACCTCAGTCTCGCCAACAAAACCTCCCTCGAAAAAAGCGGGCCAGCCACAGGCAAGGCCGAAGCCTAGGGCGCTATCGCCAGAAGGTGCGGTGCCAAAGTTACTATCTGACCTGTTCTAAGTTTGTTTTAGAAAAGCTCAGACTTCGGCAGCGTCGCTTGGACATGGAGCGCGATGAGCGCCGTTCAAGATTCCTCCAAAAGGCCTCCCTCCAGTTGCGGATCGAAAAGCTCAATGCCACTATCGACGCAGTACGGTTCACAGCCGACGAGTTTGGCATTGACCAGCAAGAATATGTGCGACGTGGCCGCTACCATCAAGTGATTGCGCGGGCTTTCCAGGCTGCCTTGTCTCAGCTTGAGGACCTTGGCCTCGATCGCGAGGCGACCGAACTTATGGAGCGCTTCAAGGAGCAGGAAATCAAGTATCAAAGCGCAGAGGTTGGTGCGCGTCGTGCTCAGACAGCGTGGTGGGCTTTGTGGCATGTGGAGATGAGATTTCGTCGTGAAATAGGGAAGCTCCGGTCCGAGCTTGAGTGCATGGCGTTGTAAATGTAAAATTATCGTTTGTCTGTCTTGTCGAAACCTTCTTGATTATTTCTTGATATTTCTGGATGCTTTTTAAGTGGCTATGCAACGATGCGCTTGACCGTTCAGACAGTGTTCGTGTGGTCTTGGTCCGCTTTAGAGTCAGTGAGCAGACTGCAAGGCATACTGAATAGGATTGGAGAACAAGGATGTCAAAGATGTAGTCACGGCAAGCTATAATGAGGTCCGTCACCTGTTACCCAAAATCTGGGATTCAGTAGTTTTTTTATTGTCGCACCAGCATTACGAGTTTGACAAAAGTGAATAGAGCATTTTAAAGGCCCAAGGGGCCCCGTATGTTGTATAAAAATTTAGAAGAATCGAGAATTTATTCATTTTTTTGGGAGCATTCGAGATTTTGGAACTAGGGCAGGCGGCACATGGCAATTCCACAACTGGGCCTGACATTTACGAGCGACCTATGTCAATATTGAAACAGCAGCTGGGCACAAATTTAAATATTGGTGGGTCGGGGCAGATGCCCAGAACCCAAATACATCTTAATTTGACCACAGAAACTTGTAACTATTTCAAACGACCAAAATCTCTGATTCCGAGATCTATTAGGCGGCGACCACTTCCCGTGTCACATCACATCAGGTGATCGTGTCTACCCTTCTTCACGCACTCATCTGCAATGCCACGACCGTTGAAGTATAACACAGACGAAGAAAGACGGGAGGCCGCTAGGGCTTACAGCCGAAAATACGAGCAGAGCTCAAGGTGTGCTCTTCGCCCCGTTTGTAGGCCATGATTTGACCATAGCCAGAGCACAAACTGTACGACAAGCATACCGCCACAAGAAACGCGGAAGAAAGCAGATCCCACTCAGCCTCGAGCACACCCCATTGCTGCCTGCCGCTCTGCTGGATCAAGCCTGTTTCTTCTGGCCTAACGATCACCCACTCTTTCGTCGCGCCTTGGCGGGCAAAGTCAAGGGTCTTTTCCCTTACGACCTACCTCCACCATACTTTCCTACCGATTTCGAAGAGGCCCCCAATCGTGAATTCAAGAACATCGAGGAATTGGAGATCGCTATTCACGGCCTCAAGCTTCGACAGGAGCGCGAGATGGACGAGGAATGGCAGGAATGGCTGAAAGCTTGGACGCGAAAAGAGGCTATCAAGCAATGGGAGGGAGAACTCTCGCAAGCTGTGGAGAGTTGGGCGAGGCTCAAACAGCTGAACGACTCCTTGAAGGATCAGGAAGGATGGGACTCGCGAATCCATCATTGCGCCATGGCTACCCTGCACATGAGATGGCAGGCCAGACGTTGTGCACGACTCCGGGGGCTTGTATTTCTTGAGTGATGTAAACTATCTCTGGCAAATTCCACCATCTTCGTCTTTCCTCAAAAACTTGGTGCCGCCCGCCTTGATTCCGATTCGGATTTAGGCCGCTGTTAAGCTCGGGAGGGGCTATTCGGTTGCTTCTGGCTTCGCTTCCTGACCGCGCTTCCTAGCTCCTACTCGGGACTTCACGCACTTGTCTTTCACGCCATTCTCCTCTTCGACGACGGCCATTGAACTCTACAATGGAGTCGAACAGTCAACAAAACACTAGGGATGGCCTGGCCAAAGGCGAAGAATTCGACAATGAGTACGTAGCTCTTGGCCCCCGACTATGCGTGTTCTGACATTATCACTCTTACCGTTCAGAGACTTCAAACTGCTTCAAACGATGTCCGAGTCTGGAGCAGAAACAAGCACGGCAAGTTACCTCGAGAACACCACACGAGCTTCAATGACTTGTTATTCCAGATCCATGTGCTTGTTTTGCACCTTGACGGTAGCATCGAGCGGCTTCCCATTCCGTCATCGCCGGATACTATTACGGCGCTGCTGCCATCTTTCGAAACTCTGTGGAAGACTGGCGACGTGCTGTGGGATGAATGGCTAGATGTCAAGGCCAGTATAAGCAAGGACAAGTACACCATTTCCATTCTGGAATCGGGCCGTAGTCCTACGGACAGCAAAAGCCTTGCGCTGGACGACGACTGGCTTGATATTCAGCATAATGTCGCTGTCGCCAAACTCCGCTGGCAAGAACCGGCATGCATCAGCCCTGCAAGCGGCAATGTCATTGTCGTTCAGCACGAGAACCCGGATGTGGCTGAACTTGAAGCGAACGTCCTAGCGACCGTGTCTAAATGCCGCCCTTTCGATTTACAAGAAGAAGATGTTGCGGAGGTCTTGACGATGGTCCAATAGTGAGTCGACCTTGCCTTCACCGGCTCTCAGGCTTTGAAACTGACCTATCTCTCAGCTTCTATTATGGCGCCGAACCCGTAGAATCTTGATGTACTCACACGAGTTAAATTGAAACCAGCGACAAGTTTATTTTTTTTTGGCAGATGCGAGTACAAGACAGTAGAGTACGTAGATCATGTAGCAAACATGGTAGAGTAGATCTCGATACGAGTAGCAAACGACAGCAAATAACGACAACAGATCGACATAGCAAGGCAGCGCGACATAACAGCAAGACAGCAAAACGCACACAGGACACAAACAAGGTCCGACATAAGCAGCAAGACTGCGACAGCAAAACGCACACAGGACACAAGCAAGGTCCGACATAAGCTCCAACGAGAGCCGTTCCAATATAATTTGACGAGGCTGATCCTGGCAGTATCTAAAATTGCTCGTTAGATAGGTAGACGTTACAGAATAGAACATGCACTCACTGGCGTAGGAGAATTCGGATGGTTGGGATATCTTCAGGCGTCATGTCTAGCACGCGCAGGTCCAATAAACGGTCGCTCTCGAAGCCACTAATATCGAGCAACGAGTGCTTGATGATGACAACTGACCCAAGGAATGGGGTTTCGCCGTCGCAGAGTTTTTGGATGCCTTGATTCGGATAGTGGTCCAAATCCTCGGGATTGAGAGTGCGATTGCCGTTATTGTCGTCGCTCTCGTCCTCGTCGTTGCTGGCAACATTGGCGTATACACTGGCGCTATCGCTTGCATCCACGCTTTTGACACTCGCGTTATCGTTTGCATCCACGCTTTCAAGTTTGACACTGGCGTTGTCGGCAGCACTCTTGGCAGCACTGGTAGAGTCCGAATCACAGGCGTGCGGGCAGCTCACCACCACTGAAAACGCTTGGCCGGGATAGCCCTCAGGTTGAAAGCGTTTCCAGCCGCCTTTGGCGCAGGCGAAACATGCCAACGGTGAGTGCAGCCATGCCTTTCCGATTTCGTCAGCTACAGTGTCCACAGATATGTCGCTCGGAGTTGGGGGGAGGTCGTAATAGGGAACAGCCAGAAGTAGTGGAACCATCTTGAGCTTCGCGTCATTCCTCATCGGGTGGAAAACCAGATGACGGTAGTACAGTGGCTGATGAATGATGAGATCTGCCGCTTGATAGAGCGATCGGAGATACGTACGAAGCGGGAATCGCTGTCTGGACCGCGAGTGATGAGACGGAGAAACTTCGCCGACGTTGGAGTAGACCGCCCGGCATAGTGTGCGTGGTATTGGCGTGGTAGGAGGAAGAAAAAATGTGAGTCAGCCTGTCACACGCATAACACTATGCAGGCTTGTCACTTGGATCACGATGACGAATGATGGTTACGGAATCAGCACGAGCACGCGGAATGTCACCTTGTTTGGTCACGCCGCCGGCTCTTCTCGCTTCCTCTTCGCTTCAGTTCTCCCTTCGCTTCAGACTCCATGGCGTCCTCTCACAATGACAACACTCGCAAACGCAAAGCAGCAGCCTTCGCGCGCCATCACACGACTCCCATTGAAGAGTTAGTCGGAGCCCCCCCAAATGCTCTGCTGTCCACAAGTGTCCACCGCGTTACCAGCGATAACCGACGCGTCCGCACTGAGACGGTGTTGGTGGAGCCTTCTTCTCCAGTAAAGCGTGCTCGTCGGGAACATTTCGAGCGGCAGAGACCAATCCTTTTCCCTGGCGACGAGCCGGAGCGATATGAAATGGGTTTGGAGGAAGACGAGAGTAGCGTGCAAGACGACAATGCCAATCTCCGCCAAACTCGCCCTGCAGTGAGTCTTCGATTCTTGGGGCCGAGTCTGGTCTAACGCCATTCCAGGACAAGGCCATGCAAGAATGGGCTACCGAATATCGAGACAATTATCTTCGCGCAATGCTCTGGCGAGACGGGCGAGGCCTCGAACACGACTCAAGCTGCTCGAGCTGTAAGCAGCCTAATTCTGTCTTGTACCGCTGCCAGTCTTGCCGCGGCGGGGCCATGCTCTGTCAAGTCTGCTGTGTCAAGGCGCATCAAACTAATCCTACCCATTTTGTTGAGGTAATATGATCGATAAACTGGAACGAAGCGTGGAACTTACTATATCCTTTAGAAATGGACTGGTATATACTTCGTCAGAACAACTCTTCGAGACCTAGGACTTCGGATTCAGTTCGGCCACAACTTCCACGAACAGTGTCCACTTATTTGAACGGGCCGTTCTGACTTCGTTGTTCTCGGGGACAACGGTATCCAAGAGGTCGCAGTCGATTTCTGTGGCTGCTTGAGCAGCGACCCTGACCATATCCAACTCTTGAAAGCTGGTTGGTATCCCGCGACCAGCCATTCTCCTCGAACCTGTGCGACATTCGTGTGCCTTGATAGATTCCATTACCTCTCTTTGCATGGCAAGACGACTGCTTACGACTACTACTCGACACTGGAGTCGCTGACGGATGGGACTGGGGTCAAGCCTCCTGATCGATATGCGATCTTTATGCGCATGGCCCGCCAGTATCGGCACCTGTTACTCCTCAAGAGAATGGGACGCTCTTATGATCGCTATGGAGTTCTCGGTACCGCTCCCGGAGAACTTGCAATTTGCTGTCCCGCTTGTCCTCGGCCTGGAGTCAACTTGCCTGAGGGATGGGAGAACGCTTCGCCCGAGGATAAGTGCGTTATGTTCTTGCTGGGAGTCGTCCGAACGATTGACTGACAGTCTCTTGCAGATGTCTGCATGTCATGTTCATCGCCATAGATGCCTGTTTTCGCTTAAAACGTCGAGCCATCTCCAATGAGTTGCGCGATCCTGGTCTTGGGACCGGTTGGGCTTATATGCTTGAATGGCATCCCTATCGAGAACATCTCCTGACTGTGACGGACCAGCAAGAGGTTTGAACGTCCTTGAATCGGGAGAACCAGCTGATTTTAACTCCAGATGAGCACTTGCAGTGGCCTTGCCGCCCTCGACCACGCAAATTCAAAGTTTTCTCGAGGATATAGTGTCACGGGTGTAGGCATGGGTGTTTGTGCACGACACGAGTTTGTGCTCCCGAATGGTGTCGGAGATCTACAGGCTGGTGAACGGTATGTGTGATATTCTAATCGGATGTGGACTAATATTTTGATAGTTACAGTAACATGGACTATATATTCGGCTCCTTCATGCGCCATATCCACCCTGCTCTCCTGAAAATCATCTCCTACGACATCGTCTGTCAATGGATGAAGAAGTTGCGCGAACGATTGGCGAAGTTACCGTCACTCGTACGATTATCACTCGTTCTTGCGATGGTTCGTTTCGCCATCCCCAAAATGCATATCAATGGCCATTTGGTTCTGTGTCAGATCCTTTTTTCGTTGCTCTTGATTCTGGGCTCGGGAATGACCGATGGGGAGGGTGTGGAGCGCCCTTGGAGTATGATTGGAGGAATCGCAGCTAGCACCAGGGTATGTGGACCCGGAGCTCGCTGGGATCAACTAGATGACCATTGGTCATTCTGGAATTGGATAAAACTCCTTCGACTGGGTGAGCTCGCTTTCCTTTATGAACTCTCTGACTTACTGCGTTTAGCGGGTCTTTTACGACGTCGAACGGACAAAGCAGCAGAGGAGTTGCTGAAACAAGAGCGGGACTTCGAGCTCTTGACTTTGGGCAATGTCGATCGCGTTCCCGCTTGGAAGGCGCAGGTCGAAGAGTTTGAAGCCGACAACTCCAAGCCTAATCCCTACGAGTCAAGATCCGAGGGTAAGCCTAGACTAACTTATGACTTGATCGCTCATCTTGTATAGGTTTAACCGAAGCTGCCGTTCGCAAGATGTATGAGGAGGAGGAGGCTGCTCAAGAGAAAGCGGGGGCCATCCCCATCCACGATGTCTCACCCACGGAGTTCATCGTTGCATTGTTGGATGCAGAATCGGACCAGTCAGTGTTTATCTGGCTCAAACAGCTATATTAATGAAAGTGTAGGCGGCGCATTCGTGGTTTGGTCGATCTGAAAAGGACGAGAGGATCGGCCGGGGGAGTCAGTCTTCGCCGTCAACGTCGAAAGCTTAACCGCACTATCAAGCGGCTGCGACTTCTACAAACGACTTACATGCCGGCAGCGCTGCGAACTTTCGAATCTCTGAAAATCTCGCAGGAAACGCTTGCTGAGCGCGTTCCCCTTCTCCCCCCTTCTGCTTTATCTCCTGCTGAACGCGCGAATGGTGGTTGTCGAGACGGATTGATCGAGATTGAAAAGGGTTTGCGAGATGCGCAGTGTCGCTCTTCGTTAACCTGCCTTCAACTCCAACTCCATGTGAAGTCAAGATTGCTTACTTATAAGCGAAACAATTCGCGTGCCCAAGCAATGAACACGCGCTCGCGGACTCTCGTCGACCAAAACGAGCGCAAAATACTTCTATACTCAGAGAAGTATCAAGCTGCGTGGCGAGCATTGGTGGCTATTGAAGGGGATGCCAGGCTAATAGGATGGCGGAAACTGGAAAAGGCTGATATTCGGTGCATCGAGGACGCGGAGCAAGTGGCAAGAGATAATCAAAGACGCGCCAAAGCGGAACGCGCTCAGAAAGCACGAGACGCAGAGCTGCAACGGGCCGGGCTCCCAGCTTTGCCTGTCAATGGACAGCGAAGAGTTGGAGGATAACGAGGATGAGGATTTGATAGAAGGGACGTCAGTCCAGAGGATCAACCGGCGAGATGCTGCCTTGCAAGCGAATGCATTCTTCAAGCACGGGGAGAGCCGACGGCAAGTCTCGTGGATCTGGAGCAACGTATCTAACACATCGGAGGGTGTGGAGGAAGGTACGCCTCCGTAACGCCTTTTACTCTGTTCTGATGCTCGATATCTATAGCTCTGCGAATCGAGTGGGCCAAGTCTTACGCTAGACTGCGTCGTTGGAGAGAAGAGGTGCGCATCCTCGACGCCGAATCGGACCGCCTGCAGCTGTCCTTCGCTTTTGAGGAAAATGTGTGGGTGGAGCGAGGGAAGCAGGTTGATATCGCTGTGCTTGGGGTGGAAGCGGCGGAGGGCGCTGATAAGCCGCATTCTGGAACACACATAGGAAACCACTATTTTTGTTCGTTTCATGGTTACAGCGCACGTCTAGGAACTGGCATGAGTCCCGAATGGCCAGTTAGGGAGATATCTGCGAAGAGGCGTTTGATTCGACCGTTGTTGATAGCAACTGGCCGTTCAGAACGACTCTTACAACAACCAAAAACAACAGCAGAGCCCAACCAACATAGAGGATCCATCCAATCCTATATATATACCAAAAGGGGAGTGTAAACTAAAAGGCATATTCGGTCTGGCACGCGCTGGGACTCGAACTCAGAACGCTCCGACGAAGGTTCAACCAGGCTTGAACGGATCAGTCCCTGACAGCATTGGAACGGTTTCGGAACTTACGCAAGGATAAGGACATGTGGAGGTGCGGTTAAACGGGAGGCATGACTCAGTGGAAACGAGGGCTTGGCTGCAGATCGCGGCGACCTTAACCCGCAACCGTTCAACCGAACAACTCGACAACAGATTGCGATTATCTCGTTAAGAGATTTGCCTAACGGTGTCTGGCGGTTAACCTCAAGTCATGGATATCGATGGAAAGCTAGGAAGTGGAGCAACACGACGATAACAACAACGGTTAGCGGACCGTTCACAAAAACGCATAGACGGTCGCAATAAAGGAGGATTTACAAAGGTCATTGACACCAAACACGCGCTACCGGTCATCTAGACCTGGATTTTCGACTCTGGGCCTTATGGCGAAACGATACCTTACAAATTATGCACATGGACCATCATTCTGTTGTGGCGATTTACCTGATCTTATCATTTTCTGTTTTAGTATTTATATCTCTGTCCTGTATTTGAGCGATTCACGGATTGCCCCGCGTTACTAGGTGCATCTGGGGATCTAGCTTGTCAATATCATCCTGCTAGCTCTTTCATTCAAGTAAAAAGGCGTTGTGATCGAAGAGTTGAGGGTTCCGGTTGCCGTATAAAAGAGTTCCGGTTGGCGTACACTTGGTTTCGGTTGGCGGTCGAGAGTTTAAGGCAGTTAGTTCCTGACTTGAGACGACTCTTTGGGTTTAAGGCAGTTAGTTCCTGATCCAAACGAGTATAAACGGTTCTGGGCATCGTATTGGCGCTTTCCTATTGCTGGATTTCGTCGATAGTACGCTTAAGGACGACCACAAAACAAATCTTTAACAAGATTTCATTCGATCTACCCTACAACCTTGCACACCCGTGTACAGGCTCTGTTCCCAGGGTTCTGCACTCGTATTAGGAGACGGTTATTGGTGGTTGTTGGACGTTTGGAACGGTGTTATACGGTTATCGCTCAGACAGAACGACTATTAGTTGTTTTGTTGTTGAGTTTTAGTTGTGTAGTGCCGGTCTCATCTCCGGTCTCCCCACCCGTCATCCACCCTCATCATCTGGAGCCCACCGCGAGGGGTGATCGAGTGTTATATTGCAAAGAACTCTGTTTAGTGCAAAAACAGCTGTGACAAGAAAGAAGACAAGCAAGCGCCCACACGCTTGGATCAAAGTACAAAATTCCACCAAAAGGGAAACAGAAAGATCTCACTGATTCCCAACCAAACGACTTCCCTGGATTGTTAAGAGGCGTTGGAGAACTGCGACCAACACCACTTTTCGTTCCCAAATTAACGAAGAAACCAACACCGAGAACCACGCTCAACTCACAAGGAGCTCGGAACAGAGAAGCACCACAAAAATCGACGAAACCTCAAGCAGCTTGTCAAGGAAACCGATTCAAGCATCGAGCAAAAAGCGCTTACCAACAAAACCAGCTACAAAGCGCAAAACAACCGAAAGGAACACTACAGTCGAAGAAGAACAGCAATCGTCGACACCATCTTCACCTTTAACGGACCTATCTGAAGGTGAACACAACACAAATCGGATTAACGAACAACCGATTGAACAAAACAACAACATGGGGGATAACGGAAACGTAAATAATGGAGGTCTGGGAGGAGCGGCTGCGCGTTTTAAAGTACCGGAAACCTGGGATTCGGGTCGTCCGAGTTTCGATGGGAAGACTCCTGGCAAGTTGGAGAAATTCCTAGACGAATGCGATCGCATTATCGACCAGGCAAGTATTACTGAAGCGGCGGAAAAGAAGGAGACGGTGTTGCGGTATTTGGATACTCGATATGTGAAGGAAGCGTGGAAGAACTTGACGCCATATGGAGGAGGAACGTTCGAAGAGTGGAAAACGGCGATAAAGTCGATGTATCCAGAGTTGGATGAGGTGAACGAAGGGTCGAGGAGGCGTTTGAGAGAGATTTGCGCGGAAGCCAAGGGGGCGAGTCGAGAGGATTTGGGGTTGGTTACTCGTTTTTGTGCGTTCTTCGTACCAGAAGCAGAGAAACTACTCCTGCCTCCCTCGTTGGTCACGAACAAAGAGTTGGTGTCCTTGATCTTGAATACGTTGCGTAGCGATTTCGCGTCAGCAGTCGAAGCGGCGCTGAACCAGCCAAATATCGCGAATATTCTAGGGCCAAACGCAAATGCAAATCAGAACGCAGCAAACACTCGTAGAGGGGATCGTTGGAGCTACAAGGAGGTTCTCAAGGTGGTGGCATGGCTTGCGAACAACTGGTCGGGCAGAGAAGCGGATGCGGTATCGGGATGATGCTAAACCATCGATCTCGATGTCGAATCTCAGTGGAGGACCGTTAACCTCGGATACGAGGGTCAAGTCGGAGTTTAGAGACCAAATGGAGAGTTTTGCGCTGGAAATAAATCGTTAAAGGACGTCATGGCCGTGGGATAAGCAGTTGATTGAGACTATGAAGCAGATGCATGTAGCAACTGAATCTAGATCGAAGGAAACAGCGACTCACCAGCACCAAGGGCAGCCTCAACGAGAATATCGCCAGGGTGGAGAGCGAAACTATGGTGGAATGCAAGGAAATGAACAGTGTCATTTCTGCGAAGAGACTGGGCATATGGTGCGGGATTGTCCGAAAAAGAGGGCGTTATTGGACCAAGGAAAGATCGTTATGGAGAATGGGGTTTTGCGATTACCTGGTGGATATTATATCCCCAAGTATCCTGAGAACGTGTCACGTTATCAACGAGTGTTGGATTGGTATAGCAAGGGAGGAGGAGCTGGAACGACTGGGGAACGCAAGTGAACTATCAATCGTCGTTTTTCAACGAGTATACTCCGAACGAGCAATACAATCTCTTGTATGACACAAGCGAAGACGAAATCCGTTCGTTACGGGCCCAGATGGCGGCTATGGCGAAGCAAGTGCAAGCCAATAGCCTGTCGACTGGTGGCCAACAGCAGCGTTTTTCAAGTCCTCAAGCACCAGTGCAGACCTATCCACAGATCCTTCAACGGGAACCCATGGTGCAAAACGGAAGTGGTGGAAGAACACAGCAGCGAATGGGGGAGAGTGGAGTTGGGAACGAAGCTTATCCTTCCTTCATTCAAGCGCCCGTTCAACCGGGCTTGCCCGGCAGGGGATTCGAACTTTCAACAGTTCTTGACGATGTATAACATGGTCCAGGCAATGCAGAATTCGCCGGGGTCGGGTTCGCAATCGGGAGGACAGTCGATGGAGTCGCAGTACGCGAACACACGTTCGCAGAAAGACAACTCGGCTGGCGGAAACCAAAATTTTTAGATAGTTCGAGGATGGAGACCGGAAGCAAACGAAAGAAGGCTTCCGAGGCAACGAAGTCTCTTGAGAACCGATCTAAAGTTGCGAAGGAAACGTCAAAACGGAGGCAGGACCGAAGAGAACTGGAGGAGGAGTCGAATTCGGATAGTGGAGAAGAAACAGAACCCGAAGTGTTGGAAAAAGAGGATGTGCCGAAGAAGAGACGAAAGGCGCGTTTCAGAGGAGAAGACTCGGAAGATGAGAAATTGGAATACGCAGCGAGGATGGCTCCTCATTCGGAATCTCCAGGGCGAAACGGGGAAACGCAAGAACGGGCGAGGAACGGGCGTATAAATTGGCTACCAAGTTCGATGACCCAAATATTATTAAGCGTATTGTTGAGAAAACGGAGAGTACAGTCGCACACGATATTACCGTGGGCGATTTGATCTCGCTTTCGCCAGAATATGCCAAAGCTATGAGGAAGTCAACGAATCGAACGAGGCAACCGATAAAGCCAGTGTTACTTAACGGAAAACTTGACGAAGGATCGGAATATCCATTCATGGAGGACGAGGGTGTCGAAGCTCGACTCCAAAATGATGCTGTGGATATAGATGAACTACCAATGGTTGATTCGTTCTATATCTCGACTGAGGAAGATCGTCAATACGGGATAAAGGAAGGGTGTTATGTTAGCACCGACCCTTATCTGCAGTATGTCGCTTCGTTATCCCCAGGAGAACCGCCTAAACAAGTGTTTTCGGGAAAGGACTCTGCGTCGTTACGAGTTGTATGGCCGTTAATCGCAGCAAGGGAACATGTGGAATGCGTTATAGACAGTGGCTCTCAGATAGTCTCGATGGCGTTATCGGTAGCTGAGCGGTTGGGAATCCCTTGGGATCCAGATCTGCAAATCTACATGCAGAGCGCGAACGGGCAACTGAAGAAGTCGGCTGGATTAGCGCGGAACGTTTGTTTCTTGTTTGGGGACAT